TTTCTTATGTATATATAGTATTTGTTTTGTAAATATAGGGATTGGTGGATGATTATGCAAAATTCTAGAGAAATGTTATTGTTGTGTAGAAGTTTTGCAAGAATTAGATGATGTACAAATGTATATAATAAGATTTGATGCAGTTTTGGTTAGTTTTGAGAATAGGAGTTGTATATAAAGGAGAGTTTTTGGATTAACGAAGCAATTTTGTTGTTCCAGGTTTTCTGTTCAGAGTTTTTCAAATTCCCAGTAGTATTGGGGGTTTGGTATGACTGTTACAGTTTTATACAATAACCCAAAATTGCTAATGTGTTCAATTTTAACACGATCCATTAGTGTCATTTGCTTAATGATATGAGTTAGTAAATTCTTGTATGGTACCCAAATCAGTCAAATTTATGATTGTCTTGGTGATTCCTTGATAGTTGTAAACAAGTTGTGGTTGTCTCCTATGTTGCTTGGTCACTTTAAAAATGCTGATGAGTGTGTTTGATCCTTCAAAAGTAGTGTATTTTTTGAACATAGAGTCCGAGTAACATAGATTGTCTCTATGCCATTGTATTATCATCAGATATCTCAGGTAATGAAGTATATAATTATTATCTGGGTATGAAAATTGCAGGCACTGGACAAGATCCGTTTTCAGAGTTTGACTGACAAGAGCAAGCTAGATGCCCAACCTGAACTTTTCATTCACATCATCCCCGATAAGACCAACAATACCCTCACAATCATTGACAGTGGTGTTGGTATGACAAAGGCTGGTGAGTTAGCATACCCCTGTTGAAGCTTTGTACTTTTACTTGATACTAATCTTCTCTAATTTGACTGATAAATACTAATCTTGTTTGTTTCATTTGCAGATCTTGTGAACAACCTTGGTACAATTGCTAGGTCTGGCACCAAGGAATTTATGGAGGCCATTGCTGCTGGTGCTGATGTAAGCATGATTGGGCAATTTGGTGTTGGTTTCTACTCTGCTTACTTGGTCGCTGAAAGGGTTGTTGTGACCACAAAACACAATGATGATGAACAATATGTTTGGGAATCTCAAGCTGGTGGTTCGTTCACTGTTGCAAGAGATACATCTGGTGAGGACCTTGGCAGGGGTACCAAAATTACCCTCTTCCTCAAGGAGGACCAACTTGAATACCTTGAAGAGCGAAGGCTCAAGGACCTGATTAAGAAGCATTCTGAGTTCATCAGCTATCCAATCTCTTTGTGGGTTGAGAAGACCATAGAAAAGGAAATCTCTGATGATGAGGACGAAGAGGAGAAGAAAGATGAGGAAGGAAAGGTAGAGGAGGTTGATGAAGAAAAGGAGAAGGAAGAGAAGAAAAAGAAGAAAATTAAGGAAGTCTCTAATGAGTGGTCATTGGTGAATAAGCAGAAGCCCATATGGATGAGGAAGCCTGAGGAGATCACAAAAGAGGAGTATGCTGCATTCTACAAGAGCCTGACAAATGATTGGGAAGAGCATTTGGCTGTCAAGCACTTCTCTGTTGAGGGTCAGCTGGAGTTCAAGGCTGTTCTTTTTATTCCAAAGAGAGCTCCTTTTGACCTCTTTGACACCAAGAAGAAGCCCAACAATATCAAGCTGTATGTTCGCCGTGTGTTCATCATGGATAACTGTGAAGAATTGATTCCTGAATATTTGAGCTTTGTGAAGGGCATTGTGGATTCCGAGGACCTTCCCCTCAACATCTCTAGAGAGATGTTACAGCAGAATAAGATCCTGAAGGTTATTCGCAAAAACTTGGTAAAGAAGTGCATTGAGCTATTCTTTGAAATTGCTGAAAACAAAGAAGACTATGACAAGTTCTATGAGGCCTTCTCAAAGAACCTCAAGCTTGGTATCCATGAGGATTCACAGAATAGGTCTAAGTTTGCTGAACTGCTGAGATATCACTCCACAAAAAGTGGTGATGAGATGACCAGCTTGAAGGACTATGTAACCAGGATGAAAGAAGGCCAGAATGATATTTATTACATTACTGGTGAGAGCAAGAAGGCTGTTGAGAACTCACCCTTCCTTGAGAAGCTGAAGAAGAAGGGTTATGAGGTTCTTTACATGGTTGATGCTATTGATGAGTATTCAATTGGTCAATTGAAGGAATTTGAGGGTAAGAAGCTTGTTTCTGCTACCAAAGAAAGCCTCAAGCTTGAGGAGACTGAAGATGAGAAGAAAAAGCATGAAGAACTGAAGGAGAAGTTTGAGGGTCTGTGCAAGGTGATTAAGGATGTTCTAGGTGACAAGGTTGAGAAAGTGGTGGTCTCTGACCGTGTTGTGGATTCTCCTTGCTGCTTGGTTACTGGAGAATATGGTTGGACTGCCAACATGGAGAGAATTATGAAGGCACAAGCTCTCAGGGACTCTAGCATGGCTGGATACATGTCTAGCAAGAAGACCATGGAGATCAATCCTGAGAATGCCATCATGGATGAGCTCAGGAAGAGAGCTGATGCTGACAAGAATGACAAGTCCGTCAAGGATTTGGTTCTACTGTTGTTTGAGACTGCTCTTCTCACCTCAGGTTTCAGCCTTGATGAGCCAAACACATTCGGCAACAGAATTCACAGGATGCTGAAACTTGGTCTGAGTATCGATGAGGATAGTGGAGATGCTGAAGCTGACATGCCAGCATTGGAGGATCCTGAAGCTGATGCCGAAGGCAGCAAGATGGAGGAAGTTGATTAAATCTAGGACACCAGTGTTTTGTTTTGATTATTATGAAGCCCTTAACCCCAGTAGTTTTTGTTTTTTTTACTCAGCTCCACCAGCTGGACATATATGATTGAGTTTTATGTTTTGGTTTTATTTCTGCATTGTAGGGTAGTATTCATTGGCTCATTTTGTTACAACGTTTTATGTGACTATAGATTCTGTACTTTGCCTAATTGCTTCTTGCATTCTTCTATGGATGTCTGCCTTGTTAGCTTACTATATGTTTTATAGGATTGGCCGTGACAAAGTGGTCTGAAGATTGTTTTTATTTTGTTCTCTTTGTCAATTATTGGATTTGATTTCCACCTTGACTGTAAATTATGCCCACTCTAATTCTTGTTTGCACTGATATGGATGTTTCCTATTTAAGCAGCAAGTTCAGGACCTTGTCGAAGATGAGGGAATAGTATCAGGTAAGAATTGAGATATGTGCTTGTTTTGCTCTCTTCTATTTGTCAAGTTTTAAGGGGCGACCATAGTCGCTCCCTACCCATTCTCTCTTCAAATGCAAATTTATTATTAGTGTTTAGGTATTGGGGTGCCTATTATTTCAAATTCTTATGTTCTCTTTAGCTGTATAAAGGTAATATTTATGGCAGTCGTGATAATTGTCCGAGGGTGGTAAGTGGTAAACCATTGAATGTTTTCCAACTTATCTTGCATGAAAAAGGAGAGAAGAAGGAATCTAAAGGAAAAAGCTTGCAGCACAGTTAGGTGATTAGAATGACTTCTTGATCTCTAACTGAAATGTGTATTCATGGAGCAAGGGGTAAAAAATAATAAAAGAAAAGAGTTGATATTATTTAGAAACTACCTTTGAATAGTCTTGAGACTAAAAAATATTGAGGCAAACACTAGGTGTTTCGGAAGATGGGGAGGTAATTTTTACTTTTTAGTGTTAAATTCAACTTGTCAAGATTAAGCTTTTACAAGACCTTTTCTAACAATTTTGTGGAGTGGGGGTAAGACACAGCTTAATTATAAGAAAAAAAGTACAAAATGGACAGATTCTAATAAAGATATACAACCAATAGTGGGAAAGGAGAAAGCGTAAGAGTCCAAACAAAGAGAAAAAGATGCAAGTGCTGTGTATGAAACCTATTTCAGAAGAGAAAAATACACATCATGTAGCTCATAAACAAGAATATCCAGTAAAATCAATCACTTCTCTAACAAGAGATACAACTATGAGAATGCTATTATTATCAGTACCAACAATTACAAGTGAATGGTTGGTTGGCAGTCAAAAAACTTGAGATCCTAAAGATTTCAAGACTGTATAACAGTATAAGCATAACGTCTATAAACTGAAAAGTTGATTATGCCATTCTGTGCTTGTTGATATGACCAGTTTCACTACAATTCATAATTCAACACGTAATAACAAGTTACTCATCTACATTAATATAAATTGGGAGTTGCCAGTAATAATTAATGACCACTTAGCCTAATTTTGGCCTATATTATGATTTCTTTTTTCTCAAAACAATAAATAAAAATACCTGCACAAATCTAAAGACCTAAAAGACAATCTTACTGAAGCCAACATGGACTGTGAACCAATTACAAGCATAGACAACAAAGCTGAACAGGAAATCAGATATTATTACTATCGCAACAAAATACTGAACCACTACACTCAATGAATAACAAATCAAGAAAATATTCAAATTTTGAAACAGGGCAGCAACGAACAGTATCCAGACATCCACATCCATAAACTGACTAGTTTTTCCAAAAACATAACAGGAAAAAAAGATGGTAAAGGTAGTTCCCTAAACTACTCCAGCTTGTGTATGCCAAATCAGGTATCCTCAACTCTCGAATGAAAGACAAAGCTTGGGAATGTAGTCGTAATGTCCCTGTTTGAATGAGGAATATTATTGAGTCAATCAACGCCATGAACAATAGCACAATTTGAAAACATGATAATATATGGAGTAATGTCAAGTTTCAGAATGCCACTCACTTGAGATATTGAAGGGTCATGTTCTTCAAAAGTGAAGGATGTTGCAAGACCAAATTTCTCCATTCCTCCTTGTCAATCTTTCCATCATGTTTAGTATCAGCTTCTTCAAAAGTCTGACGAAGAAGAGAAACATTAGTTAGACGGAAATTCATGAGAAAACATCTACCATCGGAATAAAAATTGGGGACAGAAAGATGAACTAGAAGTTAGCCTCCAGATCCATTTGCATATTATATAATTCAATTTTGACCAAAACACTACTCAAAAAGATGAGCAAATCCCAACCACATTGCAGATAGTTCCATGCCTTTTCTTCTTTCCATCTATGTCTGTGTTATAAGTAATATTTCATAGATATGCACCAAGAAGGTGCTAATATATATATAGGAAAACAGGACCTTGATTCACTTTAGATTTGAAAGAACTCAAGAAGTGCACAAAAAATATTTACATCACGTCCGTATTTCTATTGCAACATGTGTAAAATTAGCTGTCGTCTGGTTACGAAATGGGAAGAAATAATCCCCATATCGGGATCTAATTGCTTCATGTTTTTCTTTTTTGCATAACTAATACACATTTAAGTTATGCGGGTATCTACGTATAGTTTTATGTAAAATAGCATGCGAAATAAGAATGCGAGTATTAATAATACATCGATTAAAACTACTAAAAGGACAAAATGACCTTCATATAGCAAACAATATTTATTTTGTGTCAAATTGTATGCTATATATCAGCTCTTTATACAACAAATCAAATGTCTAATAGTATTCTAGGAGTTGATTGATGGCCAGCTATCTTTTACATTCAACGATCTGCTTACTAGTATTCTAGGACCTAATTGATAATTCATCATTCTAATTTCTAAGCACCATTCCAGATTAAGCATATCATGTTTAAGTGGGGTCTTTGCTCCTTCAGTATTCCTCAGTTAGTGTGCTTTTCTTTCAATCTAACATTCAAAGAATTTCTCCTAAAATTTACCTTCCGCTTATTCATTCGTCTGCAACAACAATTAATGCAAGTATGCAACAAAAACAACATATCCAGTGCATTCAGCAATTAATGCCTGCCGATTAAATAAAACACTGTGGAAATCAGGAAAAGGTTGCTCAGACGAATCTGATCTATCCATAGGTCTGTCCATAGTTTTCCTTAGATCCCTTTTAATGACCAAGAAATTCATTTGGGCCAAACCCTTGAAACCTATCATAACCTTCAAAATTCGTAGATAATGAGTATGCCCCTCTACTCTTCTCCACTTAAATTCCAGGTTTAATTCGCATGACACGTGACTCGAATGTGACCTAGGTCACAAGTCCCTAGACCTTAACCACTTGAACTTAACCCCAGTGGATTTAAAGAACTCTTAGTAACTGTTCATTCATCTCTAAATAGACAAAAGTAAAGGGTAATTTTTAAAATTTCCATACTCGGATACGAGGACAAAAGTTTGGGGTAATTTTTAAAATTTCCTACATAATAGAATTTGTCCCAAATACTAGTTTTTTCTAGAATTTGGCCCAAATACTAGTTTTTCCTAGTATTTGGGAATTTGAATTGTTTGCCAATTTTTTTTTCCATATAATGGCATTTTGTAAGGCCAAACACTATTTCCCAAGTTTTTTCCTAAATATACTTGGAAATATTTATGGACAAACGGCACCTAATAGAGGACTTGATTCATTAGCTAATGCATAGAGAGGGAGGGCTTTCGAAGCAGCCAACGGAACGGGAAATACAATTGCTACTATTTTAATTTGGTTAACATGTTATTTGTGTGGCCCCCAAGGCCTAGCTCGAGTGGCGAAAAGGTGGAGGATTTATGGCTTAGGTCGCAGGTTCAATCCCCACACCACGCAAAGCGAAGTCTGGTATTTAAGTGGAGAAGGGTAGAGGGGCGGGCCCATTATCCACCGAGTTTAGAAGGTTGTGATTGGTCCAAAGGGCGGGTCACAGATAGATTTCTCGGTTATAAAAAAAAAATGTTATTTGTGTGGGGAGCTATTGTGGAGAAAATCCAAGTATTAGGTATATATATTAGTTCCTTTTTTTTATCCAACAATAGTGTATTTAATTGCATTGAAATGATACAGTTAGCATTAAGTCTTGGCAATGACTTGAGAACAGATGATTAAGGTAATAATGACTCGAGAACAAATGATTAAGGTAATGATTGAACTTATTAAATTGGATATAAAATCGAGAACTTGGTATCAAAATTTAGGCTTTATACTCCTGTGGCTTAAGGGCCAGTGTCTTGTTTATGGATATGTTGTCAACTATGTTTAAAAAACAGGAAGCTATAGGGGCATTTTAGGAAAGTTTCCCTCCATTCATTTATATCTCCTGTGGTAGAAGAGTATGAATTAAGATCTAATCCTAAATATCTTCATCATACATTATGAGAACAAGATAGTCCATGAGAGAACTAGAGGAGGCACCATTGGTGCAAGTTATGCCTAAGGCGTGTGGTAGGCCGAGAGCTCAGACTAGACCACGTCTGTTAGGTCTATTGGATGTAAGCGCACGACTGGTGGGCGAGCTAGAGTAGCACAGCCTGTGGTACTTGAGGCGTAGGATATTCGCGTACAGACTACAGTTCCTGGTCCTACCATTACTCTTCCGGTGGATGTAGTAGTGAGACCATTGAAGTTATGGAGTCTTATTCTCCTAGACCAGTTGAGGTGCCAACACCACCAGCTGCTATAGAGGGTCATGCTTCTATTGATGCTCAGATTCATATTGTTATTCATGTGGGTCAGCAGCCTATCCATCTATTGAGACTGTGATTCCTATTCCTATGGTACTCCCCAATTTGTGATAATGTGAGGTGGAACAAGACCTTCTACTGCTGCTGGTGATGATCGTGTGAGGACTGAGGAAGATGAAGTCTTTATGAAATTCTTTCCTCCAGAGTTTGATAACACTCCATTTACTATAACAGCCCAGAAGTTGAGAGAGAAGAACCTTCCTACTATGGGAATTAGAGATTCACATGTGGTAGCCTTGCTGCCTTTCTGTGATCTGGCATAGCTAGATCTTGGTTGGTTTCTTATAAGAGAGGTAGGCTAGCTGAATGTCCACTGCTCACTTGGAGCGAGTTTGTGGCCTTATTCATGGATAAGTTAATTCCACAGAGTCAGTGTGAGGAGAGGCAGCAACAGTTTGAGTAGAGAATGAATGTGGGTAAGAATGATGCTACATTCACTGATCAGGCTCGTTGTGCACCTCATTTGGTCCCTACTGATAGGGAGAAAGGTGATTAAGTTTGTTGATGGGTTATGATACCATTTTCAAGTTACATTGGTGGTTGAGAGTATATATGTATATACACCTGATACTAGGATTTTTTTTCCACAAGAACTCTCCATCCAAATGATAAGTTAACCAAATTGAAATGGTAACAATTGTATTTCCCGTTACAGTACACCATTGGCTGCTTCCAAAGCACTCTATTTCCATGCATTAGCTAATGAACCAAGTCCTCTTTTACTCTTTCTCTTCACCCTAGGTCCTAATATGTAGGCCAAAAAGGATGGATGTGTGCCTAGCCAACTTTTTCACTATTATTTATTGTCCAAATTACTTCATTACCCAACTAACAAGTAAATTAGTAAATTAGGCCCACTGACGGCTTAATAATTCTACATCTCATAAATTATATATATATATATATATATCAATAATATAAGGTTATTACATTCTCTGCCACTTAAGCTCTCGTTCGTCCTTGAACGGAGTAAGTATACATGATGTTTCAAACGGCTATGAGCTGCATGCCCTGGATCTCTGAAGTTGCCTCCTCGTGTGGATGGTTCCTCCACAACATTTTAACCAAATAAAGCTCTTTCGACCTCAATTTGTGAACCTGCCTGTCCAAAATGGCTGTTAAAATCTCCTCCACGTGATCTCTTATATCAGTTGCCGACCAACTAATTACCCATACCATAAAAAGAAAGAATTCGCTCCTAAGAAAGTATGTTTTCATGTTATGTTACACACTAGGAACTAGGGGTGCTTTGTTTCCTTTAGGTCCATTATCAAGACATCATCCTTGAAGAAACCACACAGGATTGGTGGTGCTTCTTTTCCTGTAGGTCCAAGTCACCAAGAAATCATCCTTGAAAATGACAAACTCCAATGGAACTAAACTAACAAAGATAGATAGCAAAGGAGACAACCAAGAAATGGAAGTACTACTGCCTCAGTGTACATGTAAACAGGAGAGCCACTCCTTCCATTCAAAATGAAAGATATGCTAACAGAGGTATCTAAATGTAGATTGATGAAGCACCTTATCGATTATGCTCTCAATAACATCATCTGATAGATTCATACCAGATTCAGCAAGGGTAGCAACCACCATTTGCTTCACCTGCATAGAGACCAAACTATTATCATGTCAAGCATTCCTGGAAATGCATCAAATGTGAAATAAAATTTCCAAGACATGTTGAGTTAACCCTAACTAGAGCTACTGACTAGAGCATCTAAATAGTAGAAAAACATATGAGCGATCAAAATATTACAACAGATTTGCGTTCATAAGTGAAAGTAACTGTTTCACCTTATGAGAGATAAGCTTACCTCTTGCCTCTCAATGAAGCCTTGTTGCTTGAGATCGTATAGCTGAAAAGAAACTACAATAGCAATACCATTAGAAGCAGGATTACACAAAGTGACACTATTGACATAGTTAAGCAACTTGCATACACTCAATCTTATCATCAATAGGAGCATTTGGATGGAAAACAGAGAGGGCACGAGCAAACTCCTCAAAACCCAAGATTCCATTGTGCTTTGTGTCAAATAAGTCAAATACCTACAATTAAATAAGTCCAAGTAGGAAGAGATAAAACGCTGAGCTATTTATCCTTTAACCTTAAAACTAAAATAATGTATTATACATGGTGATTGAACAAGTAAATTGATACTTAATATACTTGAATCCTTTAGAAATAACCCATTAAAAGAACTACTACTGCAACTTCATCTGTTTAGGAAATAGTAATTGTGATTTTAATAATGATATTACTAGTTGATCTAATATGCAGGAAGCAATGTCCTTTGCTCTACCAAAATTTGTAATAACCAAAGCAAAATGAAAAGATTAATGTAGTTAGCAAGGAGAACGTACCCTATCTGCAAACAAACTTTCCTTTTTGTTCGTCTTGAATAGTGCCAATTGAAATTCTTCCTACAGTTTAGTAATAGCCTCAAAAATCAATGCCTTTGGACCCAAGATTGAATAAAACTTCATGCAAGAAACCCAAAGAAGAGTTTAAATGCTAGAATACCTATATCTCAAACACAATGGTGCTATTTCCCAAAGTTGTAGTTAACAAAGGATGAAACACAAACCTTGTTGATCAGCCCATCATCAACCACTGCACTGCTAATCTTCTTAAAAAGCTCATAGAGAGCTTCAATCTCACTGACACTAACTGCAATAAGAATGAGATTATATAGATTTATAACATTATTTACGTTAGTTGAAAGTCAATATGACCAACAATATAAATTAGGGCACTCATATATCAATTTTTTATATTCCAACTCCTTGCCCCAATACCTTTATGACAAAATATGACATCAAAAACAACATAACGAATAATGCAAAAATAAATCAAGTTTTTGCTTTTGATATAAAAGAACACAATCTTCAAAATGCAAATACAGATTTCCAGATGACGCCATCATAAAAAAGACAAACTTGCAACCAGACAAGCATTGCTTTTGGTTCATCTTTCTTTCTATGTTTTCAAATAGCAGAAATTAAATGTTAACAGATGTGTTCCAATAGCATACAAACTGTCTCTCGTGCAAGGATCTCTGGATCTTCAAAGGCTGTTGATTGTCTGTCCAGATCACAACATTTAGACAGAGAGGCACCTAAATGCTTGATCCCCTCTAGGCACTGCAACATGGTATAATTCCTGCTTCAAAACGCTCCATATCTGGTCAACCGAAAACAACAGTTGAGGAGGGGTGGGAAGGCCATTTTGATTGGTCATTTGTGTCGTGAGAAAAATTATAGAAAATGAACAAACAAACAAATGGAACTAACCTTTTGACCATTCTCTGTTATCGTCCTTAGTGAATGTAAAATGCTAAAAGTTTCTGAAGATGATCAATTTCAAGCTATTTGTCTGACAAGAAACCCATGTCAATATACATGTAGGTCTATGAACAACCCCTTAAAACAAACAAACAACAAAGGAAAAAGGAAAATAATAAAGCAAGAGCCCTCTCAATCTGTCCTCTTGACATGCAAGTTAAATATCTACTAACTAATGTCATCATAAAATAAAGTTTTGAGCCTACTGATCAAAAACAAAAAAACCAAAGAACAATGGTTTGAACCTAACTTCAATTTGGCTTAGACTTGTTTCCTCCTGTAGCCATTGTTGTAATACATAGAGGAAGAATGATATCTCTAGATGAGAATAAGAGCAGAAATGACTATGCAATTTCTTCAAAGTTGTCAGAACACTTCTTGCTAGGTAATTATATACTCTAGTCCCAATACGCATAATATCTTAGGAATATAACTTTATGATTATTATACATGAACAGTAAATTTCAGATTATAACATCCTTGCGCTTCACTAGGTAATGACGCTGCAATGTAGGGGTAGACCCAACTAGATCCTTGAGCACCCATGAATTTTTATCACATTCAATATATTTGCATAATTGATCAAGAACAAAGCTATATAAAAATAGAGTGAGCACTCAGAATTGTGAAAAACGGATGTGCTAGCTGATCAACATCCGAGGTCCTGGGCTACAAAATGCTTGTGGTGAGTGCTGAAATAGCTTCACACAGTTATTCTCTTTTAAGCTGATGGATTTCCTTTTTAATAACTGATAAATCACAAAGGCCAGTTATGCAAGGTTCGAAACACAGTGGATAATAGGTCTACCCTCTACCCTTCTCCTCTTAAATAAGCCAATGCATTTTTTTTCCTTTCTTGCTATTTATTTGCTTTCTTTTTTACTTTCACTTTTCCTTTTTGTTCCCAATTTCCCAACCTTGTTCCCAAAATAGAATATATATTTTTTTCCTTTTTAACAAATGGAACTTTAGTCTAGTCTCACATCGCAACAAAACTCATTCTTTTTTCTCCTCTTAGGAATCTCTTCCCCACGATCACCCATGACTTCAAAACCCTAGGCCTGCTACTACTTCCAAATGCAGAAACTTAACAATGATAGCATGCCCCAACGAAAAGACAACGGACATTAACAAAACTCGAAAAACCACATCTTATATCAATTATTCAATCAATTCTCTAAGAATTAAAGTGTATAATCATTCTTTAATGTTATATAGTAATAGAACCATTATTAAAAGTTGTACAAATTAAGAAGGATAGCACCTCAAGTAAAATTCGTCCAAATCACATTTGTTTACCTTATCACAATTCTTTAAACTTCACTAATCACTATACACTCAACTTCCCAACGGTGCAACAGATTCTGAAATAACTTTAGCCAAACAATAAACTAATAAAATCACCAAATTCGATATATAAAACCTAGAATTGAAGAAATAATCAAACCACAGATTAGCAAACAGATCTAATAATCGAAGAGAATACATTAATACATCGGAATTTGAATTCGATATCACTAATAAAATCGAGATTTGTAGATAATCGAAGGAGAAGAATGATTTACCTGACGAGAGGAGATGATGAACAAGAGAGGAGACGAAGGAGAAGCGACTAAAAATAATGATGAATTTGACGGTGAAGCAAATGCAAAAAATGGGCCACTCCTCCTTTTTCTTTTCACTCTGCCACATTTGTATTTGTTTATGCATACGTAATTAAAAAATATATATATGGATAGTAGGTTAAAAAAAACATATGGGTAGTAGACTAGTAGGTAGGGTTGTCAAAAATAATCCAACTATAGGTAATCCATCTATAATTTTAATGGTTGAGCTTAAGAAATTTGAAGAATTGGGTTCAATCTCAACTAATCAAGTCTTAACCCATTTTAAAAGAATTCTCAATTGAGTCTAATTTAATCTTCAATTTCAATCTATTTTAAGACTCTTTATGTTACTATATTGAAGATATGAATTACTATCTATTTTATATCTTTTAAGATTTATCTATCCATTTGTAAAAAAAATTTTAAAAAAATTCTTGAGTTGAAATTCAAATTGTGATTATAAGACTTAAATAACAATATATTAAAATTATTGAGATTAAACATGTCAAATTGGGTGGGTCAAGACTCAATCCGCTTTTAAGCCCATCTGAGCCCAAAGTAAACTTGGGCGGGTCAGAAATCAACCCAACTTTTATTTCAACCCATTTTAATATTTTCAATTTCAACCCAACCCGCATATTTGATACCTCTAGACTCTAGTAGTAGGCATTATAACTTTATTTTTTTATTTTTGTTATTTAAGCTTTGAAATATTTTATTTATTCAAACATTATAAAAGTGTTTTAAAATGTCTAAAATAAGCTAATTCAACCAGGTATGATGTATGAACATCAATTAGGAACAGTGGCGAATCCAAAAAATTTATATCGTAGGTGCTCAACTATTTTTAGCTCGAAAATTGCTACATTGAATGGGTGCTCAACTAATACGTTGTATATAAATAATAACATTGTCACAAAAGGCAATGGGTGCTTAAGCACCCATCATGTGCAACATAGGTCCGCCACTGAATTTAGAAAGCACCTTCCTAAGCGAATCCTTCTCATATTTTTTTCTTGTGTTGTTCATTCCAAAGGAAAAAAGCCTAAAATTCCTTCAAACTTGTCCACTTAACATTATTAGCATTATAACTTTACGGGGTTTGTGTGATATTTTTCTTATTTTTAGTGAAATTAATGTTAGCCTAAGAGCAAAATACCAGAATTAGGCGCACGTTACATTAATGTAACATCTCACAACTAGAAAGAACTAGAAGGAAGTTTAAAATCTGAAAATAGTTATTTTTGGAATGTATAAGGAAATCTGGAAAATTTTAAGCAAGTTAAAGTGAGTTTTTGGTCAACTTCAAACGACCATAGCTCCTAGCTCAGGATGAGTTAGGTGTAGTTCCAGATATGGTTGGAAATTACTTGGAATGGTCTTTCCAACGCCTCTAAGTTTGCGCGATTCCGAGTTCGTATGAGTAAGTTATGCCATTTGGAAGTTAGGCTGTTCGAATAAGGAAATGCCCAATCCGGATTTTTGAATGGTAGTTTGGTCTTTTCCTTACCCATATTAATTAAATCCATTTTTAATAAAATAGTTGGGGTCAAAACTGAGTTAGTTCAGTTTACACTTTTGAGAAATAAAGTTAGGGTTATTGGAGAAAGAACGCAAGAGAAAAGAGAAGAGTAAAAGCAAGATTCACCAAGAACGATCGATTTTGGTTGTGGATTCACCAAGGAATTGACCCTACAAGGTATGTGAGTCTTTCATAACATTGGGTTCATTCACCCACGCGCCAAACATGTTTCGTTCAGCAGAATTTGTCATTAAAGAGTTTGAAAGTTGATGTTCTTGACATGAATTCTTGAATTTGAATGTTGTTCTTGAATAGGGTTGAATTAACGAGTTTCAGAGATCGTTACATTGAGTTTTAGAGTTGTTTTGAGTTAGGTTCTTGAGTACATATACTGGGTATCTGAACCTAAAATGAATTTGAGAACAATAGTCGAGTTTAGGCGAATTAGGACTGGAAAACGAAGAAGGAAAAAGTCGGACAAGGAACAGGTTCCAGGTCCGCGTCGTGGACCTGTTCCCTCAGTGAATAAAAGGTTTCTCCGCGTCGCGGTTAAGACGCGGACTCCTCTTTCTCAAAATTAATTTCGCGACCATTTATTTAGAAACACTTTCGCGTCGCGGACTTGTTCCAAGACGGTGATTTCGTGACTTTTCTCATGGTTAGCTATTTAAAAATCATTCTTAAACATCATGAGATCTTTCCAATCACAAATCAAATCCTTGAATCCATAATTCAATTCAAGGACCAGTTAGGAGTCAAGTCAAGAGCAAATAAGATCAAAGTCATGAGAAGTCAAGAGTCAAGTTAAAAGAAGTTCATAAAGTTTTCCAAAAGTCTTTTGCAAATGTTTTAACTTTGTTTTAAGACTTAAGTTTTGAGTTCAGAAAACAGTAATCGCTTTCTAAATAAAGCAAGAGGGGAAACTTTGATTTTCAAGATAGCCTTTGAGCTAAGTTTTTGAGCACTAATCTCAAATCACAGAAAGAAGTATGTTTTTAAAACATAAAAAGCTAGTATATTTTGAGAGTAATATTGAGCACCGATATGGGGAGAGTTCAGACAACTCACAGCCCTCATAAATCATGTAGCCATCATGGGTAGAAAAATGTCATACTTTTTAGATGAATCATTTTCGCATAGATTAGTGGATCCACTTAATAGTTCAGGTCCTATACTTCTGGCCGGGTATATGATGAGCTGGCAGTGTGAGGTAGATTGTTGTATCATCACTATAGCTCTTATGTGATGATTGTCGGTTAGAGAAACTCCTACAGAAGTTATTGTATTTTTACATACATTTCAGAGTTATGTTGTATCCTTGTATATACACAGAGTTGACATCATATTTTTAGACAAATTTTCTTTATATTGCACTTGTTTTAAATTGTTTTATATTGAAACGAGTTCAGTTAAGTATTCATAAGTTTAGAAGAGCCAAGGTAAGTGTTTCTTTCAAATTCCCTTTCAAGCCTATGTTGTTTTAGCATTCCAACTCGCATACTCGTATATTCAATGTACTGATGTCAGTTGGCCTACATCGTCTTATGATGCAGACACAGGTAAATAGGATCGGCATTCCAGCGCACCGTTGATCCGATGAGCATTTCAGAGTCAGTCGGTGAGCCTCCTTGCATTCCGGAGGATCTATTTTCATTGCTTTCTAGTTAGTTCATTAGGATGTTGTGGGGTTGTCCCAACATTCATCTCAGTTGTTTTAGAGGCTTCATAGACAGTCAGATGTTAGTCCTTTGAGTCTTTTCATTATCATTTCTTATTGTTAAGACTTGGATTGCCACTTTTGGCCAAGTTGAATGTTTAACCTTTAAACATTCTCAGTTATTTTATTATTCAGTTCAGTTAAATGTTATTGATCATTATCAGTACAAATATTGTCTTCCGCTAAGTTAAGTAAGCTAGGTAAAGGCTTCGCTTGGGGCCAGCAATGGTCTTCGAGTGTCAGTCCCGCCCAGGGTGTAAGCTCGAGGTGTGACAATTAATTTCATGTTACCAATTCATTAAAAATATAATGTTTCACTATTTTTTTCTTTCTTTTTATTACTTTTTTTTTTTTACAATAATTAACTCTTGAAACCCCACAATAACTTCATCTCCTTTGCAACCCCCTAAATAAGAACATTAAGATTCTACCAAATATTTTGTATATTTTTCTAAATAGTTATGAATAGGTTGGTTGAACTCTTATTTGTGATACGATCCTAGTTAGACGGCTAGAATCAAATCAACGTAAAAATAAATAAATAAATAAATAAATATGATTTTAATCAAGCAAATCTAATAGAAATCAACTTCGAGAAGAAATAAAATATAGGGAGAAATAAGGAGATGAGAAGAGAATAAAGAATGATTAATTGAATCCACAATTAACCAAACAAGAAGAGACTTGAATTCAATAGAAAAGAGAACTCAATTGAAATCTACAAATGAGTGATTCAATTTGAAATCAAGAACAAGAATTTCAGCAATGGAAATTCACCTAACAGCTACACCAAGCTACTCTATAATAGAGATTCCACTATCTACAAGATACCAATTAATATCTCAATTCTTCATTTCAATTATCTAAGGAAGAAAATAACTCAAGACATCTATTTATAATTCTGCCTATTAGACAAATAGACTAAAAACAACTATTTGAAGTATAGGTTTGGCATGAATTGAGACGATTGTGGTTGTATCATTCTCTCCTTTTTCATTGTATGAGGGTTAGTACAATGGTTAGCACATATATCACTACACCAAGGAGGCACATTCCTTAGGATTAACTAAGTATCTCGCATTAACAAGACTACCAAGTCAATGGATATTTTTAGTGGGTCGGGTCAAGCGAATGAGTTATTAAATGGATATTTATTTAGTTCTTAATATTTTGGTTTTAAGCAAAAATTTCATGTCGTCAAATTTTGATAAGAAAATCAATTAAATAGGTTGAGTGACTTTTGAGTTAAAAATTAAAGTTGAGTGATTTTCCGAGAAAAGAGTCAATAATTGAGTGACTTTTGAGTTGAAATCTCAAGTTGAGTGGCTTTTTGAGAAAATACTATATAATTGAGTGACCATTTAAGATATTATATCATATTTTATAATAATGTAAAACAAAGATAAAAAGTCTAAATCGAACGAGTAGAAAGACGTGATTCAAAAACTATTAAAATTAGATATCCAATAAGAAAATTTTAAGTCATACAAAAGGAAATATACCTAATATCTTGCTACTCAAGATCGTTAGAATACCTTACGATTTACTACTCAAGATGCACCTATTGGCTTGTAGTCATTTTCATCTCCCTAAGCCCAAAAAAACCATTAATTTAAAACATAATATATAAAATATATATTACACATAAGTTATTCGGTACGGTTCGATGTATTTTTAGAAAATCAAAAGGGAAACTTACATAAATATACTGTATTAAGAAAATATTATCATTTGTAGCAATAACATTTTATTTTTTCATTTGATCACTTTTAATACATTTATAATACAATTTTAATTCATATTACAGAGAATAATTTACAAAACACATATAATACA